TTTTTTTTTTTTTTTTTGAAATTACGAAAATAATTTTAATTAATTGTTTTTCGGAATTTTTGTAATTCGAAAATATTTCAGAATTAATTAAATTCTTTTCGTTCGGATTAATCAATTCTTTCTCAACATTTCTTTTTCGAAATTCGCAACTGCTTTTACTTCATTCTTTTTTGAAAATTTTGAAAATACGTTAGAATTAATTAAATTCGTTTTCAATATTTCTTTTGGAAATTCGAAAATAAGTCTAATTAATTTTTTTTCTCATATATTTTAATTCATAAAATTCCTTTTTGCAATTTTTCTTGAAATTCGAAAAATTCTTCTTCGCAATTCTTTTTCGAAATTCTCTTTTTGTTCAGAAGTACTTCCTTTTTTTTTTTCTGAACTCCTTAATTAATTGCGACTAAACTCGATGAATTCACGACTGAATTAATCTCTTTTACTCGGAATTCATCTCCCCTTTTCGAAATTATAAAATTTTACCCCGAACGTAAATCCGAATAAATTTCGTCAGAATTTATTTTTCTCGGAATGAATTATTCTTTTTCTTCATTTGGAAATTCCTGAAAATTTTGCTTTCGTATTTTCTTGAAATATACACTCGCGAATCAGTTTCGAATAAATTCAAATTAATTTATGCTCTATTCTTGTAAATGGGAATTGTCCCCCCCATCTCCACATGCCACCACGCCAAACCACGAACTCCCAACGCGCCGCCGCTGCTGCCGCCTCCACCGCTGCTGCGGCATCCTCCACATCCGTTCCGGCCGCGTCCTCCACCCCCTCTTCCCCCGACATGACCGCATCCTCCATCAACATGTCTGACATCCGCACCGACTCGGTCGATAGCATCACCCGCAACCTCGCAGGCGAACAACCACCAGCAAACACCGCCACCCCCGACCTCTCCACCATCCTCCACGCACTCAACACCTTCCAAACCTCCGTCACCGCCTCTCTGGACGACATAAAGGCCACCATGTCGTCCATATCCGACTGCGTCACCATGCTCGAAGGGGACAACCCCTCCATCACGGTCGTCACCACGGCCGCACCTCCCTCCTCCACAGCGCAAACCACTCCCTCCTCCACAGCCGCCTCCAGCAACACCCCACTGCCAACCTCCACTCCTACCACCACATTCACCACATCCACCACATCCACCAACCCTTCAACCTCCACCTCCGTTTCGTTCCCCCCACCTCCTCCCTCATCCGGCGCATCCAGCACACGGCCTCATTCCTTGCCCATCCACGTCACCCCTCTTCCCCCCCGCACTCCCATACCCTTCCCCAATCCATCATGACGACCTCCACCATTTCCGCCATCCGTCCCACCTATTCCCAAGTCACCTCCGGGGTTTACCCTGCAATGCCACAACTCCCCCCCAACTACCTCCTTGAGGACAACAACCAACTCCACTACACCTGCTACGACACCACCCCCGATAACCTGAGCTTCAACACCCTCGCCCAGATCGTTTCCCATGACGGGGAAATCCCCCGTTCCTTCCGATCCGGTAAAGTCATGTCCTTCTCCGGCCTCCCCCAYGAGGACGTTTTCCTCTTCCTAACCCATCTCCAGAACTCTTTTCCCCTCCACCACATGGCCCTTGCCCACTGGCTCCCCATTGCCACCTCCCACCTCCTCGGCAATGCCGCCAAATGGTGGATGGTTGAAGTCAGCAACCGCCGAGCCTCCGGAGGACCACGTCACTCCTTCCTCCAATGGGCCAACCTTCTCACTGCCACCTTTCGCCCCCAAAAAACCATTGATGACTACCTTGAACAATTCTGCCACCTCCGCCAGACCGGTCCCACGGACCGCTTCGTCCAATATGTCCGCTCCCTCCGCCACCACCTCCCCACCACCGTCATTCCCGACTTTGCGTTCATCTCCCGCTTCAAACGAGTATGCCACGAAGACCTTGCAACCGCCCTCGCCCACGAACCCGACATGCCCCTTGCTGACCTCCTCTCTCGCATGCTTCACCACGATCGACTCCAAATGGTGGATGGCTGAAGTCAGCAACCGCCGAGCCTCCGGAGGACCACGCCACTCCTTCCTCCAATGGGCCAACCTTCTCACTGCCACCTTTCACCCCCAGAAAACCATTGATGACTCCTTGAACAATTCTGCCACCTCCGCCAGACCGGTCCCACGGACCGCTTCGTCCAATATGTCTGCTCCCTCCGCCACCACCTCCCCACCACCGTCATTCCCGACTTTGCGTTCATCTCCCGCATCAAACGAGTATGCCACAAAGACCTTGCAACCGCCCTCGCCCACGAACCCGACATGCCCCTTGCTGACCTCCTCTCTCGCATGCTTCACCACGATCGACGACTCCACCCCCATCACCAATCCGCGCCCGCTCCCTCCTGCCCCCGCTTTTTCCATAACGACACCACTCCACCCACCTCCGATGAAAACTTCGACACTGCCTCTCTCGACCCCTCCCAATTCACCATTGAGGACCTCCAGACCACCCACCTTATGCGGACGGAACGTCAGGATCGTGCCTCCCGACCGCCTTCTGCCTCTCCACCCCGTCGTCTCCAAAAACTCAGACCCGCAGAACGCATATACCTCCAGGAACACAACGGGTGTTTTCGCTGCCACCAGTTAGGTCGTCAACAGACCAACTGCCCCAACGTTAGCTGCTTTACTCGACCGGCCCCTCGCTCCACGGGACCTGACCCTTCTACTCCCACTTCTTCCTCCGCGACAGCCGGGCCCTCCCCCACCTGAACACTGTCCCCCTGTCTCTTGCAATCCTTCCCAGGCATCGACCACTTGTCTGCCGGCTCTCCCATCGGTGACAATCTCTCCTCCATCGGTGGCTCACTTGGCATAGACTATCCGTCTGCCTACCCCCCCTCCGGTGACACACATCCCATCAGAAGACCCCCGGGCGACGCAGTCTACTCCGCCTGCCCCCCTCCCGACGACGTTTGCTGTCCCGTCGGTCGAGCATCCCACTGGCACCTGCTCTTCTACTCTCAACCCTAAACCCCTGCATAAACCCTGCTATAACCTCGCAACCCCGCTCTACACACACCCTTGTGTTATGATTCTGGTTGTTTGTTGCCTGATGACCAACACCCACTCACATAGACTTCTAGGTATGCCCATACAGACACAGAAGGAAGGGGAGAGGATGGGAGTATCACACCGCACAGGGAGAGATAACACAGCGGAAAACTTGACCACGCGATATGACAGGGTACTGAAAGTGCAATTCACTCCACTCAATCCTCACAACCAGTCATAAAGAAAAGTCGAGCAGATCACATGCAGGAACAATGAAACGATGATAGTCCAAACCTAGTTACACACTGTTTATTAAACTCAGAGTCTCGAATTTTCAGAATAACTTCAGTACTACAGTGCGCTGCTCAGAGATGAGCAGCGCTTCACTCCCCAACCCTGATTAGCACCCGTAGCACCC